CCTTCTGTTGATGGCTAAATCATTTCTGTGCTTTGCCATCTGTCTTACGCATTTGATGATTCCCTGGTGAGGTCCTGGTAACGTTTTCTGGTGACTGTTGGTTTTGCTGTGCTCACCTAAGGAAACAAGGCTTATGCAGTCCTGCCGTTCTCCTGCCTAGAAGACTGATGGTGCTACCCTAATGGTGTTTGAACCTGTTGGCCAATGTCAAACAGACTTAACAGAGTGATAAGGCTCTTGGAGAGACGTGGTTCTTAAAGGATTGTAAAAATAGGCAGGTGGGTAAAAATGCTAACTGTGCCCTCTGCAGTGGAGGAGAGTGAAGAAGTGTTACACTTGACCTGAGGCACAAGTGAATCTAGGTAGGGTCGTTCTGTGTCTGCCATAGCTGCAGTAAAAGCTTCAGTCAGAGCTCCTTCCTCCTTAGGCAATGCCAAACCCATCCACAACCTGCAAACCCACAGAGAAAAGAGTGTCCTTAGTTCCCCCATTCGTAGAAGTCTTCTCCAAGCTTACTCCTGAGCATGGGAACACACCAACTGGCCACTGGTTTGAGGCTTGCTATTTATTAGAAGAATACGTCAGACTTCTCCCATTATATAAAATCGTTTTCCTGAACATGTCACATCTCTTGTTTGCTTTGCTGTGGAGTCAGGTAACACCAAAGTTCAAAGAGGCAGAAGTCCTTGGAGCAGTAAATGATACCCGAGTCCCGGCAGACTGAATGTTGCCCTCTGGAAATGGTAGAGAAGGTGCTTGTTCAGTAGCAGCCCGTGATTTTTCACAGCTACCGCTGAAAGCCATCTCACCTTTTCCTGGATTCTGGATGCAAATGTGTTTTGTCTCATTAAGAAATACAGTGCAAAAGGACTTTTGTAACATCTGTTGTGCTTCAATCCCTCCTCAAAACCAGTAAGAAATGTTGCCTCAGTATGCTAATCTGCACAGCATTGCAGCAGGTCAAAAGGGCTGTCGTAGCAGAGCTTGTTAAGAGTGTTGGTTGCTGTAAATGGATGTGTATAAAGCAGAGGCTGTTCCCGAATCTACAAGGGCCTGGGACAGTATCAGTGTTGTGCTGGGATCCTTGCAGGACCAGCTTTGTTGCTCAGGCTGTAAACTTTCAGGTTTACTAAACTGAGATAATTTGCAAAGGAATGTTCCGTGCTTATCTGAAAGGGGAGTCATGTTTTGGCCTAACACTAGAAATTGTTTTGGGATGCTCATAGCAGTGAGTCCTGTCGGACTGGGTCAGTGCTCCATGGACATAAACTTCCCATAATCTTTTATTTTTACATACAACATTTCTTTTACATGTATATTAATACCTATTTTCATGTCTGTATTTTCAAGTATTTAGTATATAAGTAGCTTCCAGTTGTGAGTGCAGGTGTCTCATTTGGTACCTGCAGTAGGCATCAAAATGTGTACTGGGAGGTGTGGCTGTAAAACCGTGAATGCTGCTGAGAGACCTATATTGGCATCGCTATCACTGACAGTCCTAGTCCCATCCTCGGTTCATGGCAGTGCAAAACAGAGATTTCAGAAATGAGTCTGCTTCTCCGGGTAGTCCACATGGTATGGGAGATGCGGGGATGCCTTTTTGGGAACAACAGGAGCTGTCTTTAGGCACGTCTGACTGAAGCGCGTTGCTCCTTGTAAAGTGTTTGTGCTCGTCGTGTACCTGAGATGAGTGCGTGTGTCCTGCGCCTGCTCATCCCTTGGTTTTATGGAAATACGTATGTACACGTGGGAAATACTAGCACATGGTACATGTTTGGGGATGAAAGGCGGGTTGTACAAAGTGTGTTATTGACAGCGCTGCAGGTGATAGAAAGGTGCAAAAACTACAGGAGACTCTTCACATCTATCTGTGTTGTGATGACTTTGAGGATTTATCTGGATGTTTTCTGTTCTAATTCAACATCCGTGAAAGCCCCAAATATAGTAATAAATTAACTTTGGAGGAATCGTTTATGAAAACAAGGATTTTCTGGCTAAAACGTTGTTTAAAACTTAAATGCTTAGAAAGATTTTGATTGTCTTGTTTTGAAAACATGAGTGTGAAAGGTGGGAAGGGAGGATGCTCATCCCTGTTTCCAGCATGAGACAAGAGAAAGTGGTTATCTAGGCCTTTGTTTCTGTCATTTCTTATTTTCTGTGGCTACAAGTCCTGCAATTCAAGCTGTCCTCCGTGCTGCAATGGTCTCTGTACAAGAGCTGATCTTATGTTCTGTATGGGTTACAATGCAGCAAGCGAAGAGCTGAGTTTCGGGCTGTAATTCTGGATTTCTTGCACTCTTACAGGTTTTAATTCGGCTTCATGTTATTTGCAGAATTTTTTTTTTCTGATTTAATTGAGTAGTCAGTGTGAATTTTGTGGTGTTCGTGCCCATGCAAGGGAGAGGGAGATTTTCTAAGTGTTCAGTGTTCACATGGACATAAACAGGTGGGTTTCCTGCAGAGACATTTGCATTTGAAAACCTGCTCTAAACGGGCCGGGCTTTCCCAGGAGAAGCAGCACCAGCAGTGAAACGCAGCGATCGATCAGCATAGAATTGTGTGAGCATTTGATGGGCAAAATGTTGTGGTATAAAGACAGGGCCCAAGAATAAGCTCTTTGTGGCTTTGTTTCATTCCTGAAAACTGTGACTGAGAGGCTTTTATCATTTAAAAAAAAAAATTAATCAGCCACATTTTGGCTAACCTGGAAAATATCACAAGATCCTTTGCAACATTCTAAGTGCTGTTTCTTTAATCCAATTTTGATACTAAAAAAATAATGTTTTTCATTTCTGTCTGCTTATATTTCCCCAGCTCTAAAAGTAAAGTAATATCTGAACCACTCCTTTCAGTCGCAGAGCTGAAAGCGTGTAATTTAGTGTACATAACGATAAACTCTTTCTTTCAAGCAGCTTGCATTTGTTGTTTTCTTTCTTTCCTAATTTTAACTAAGGAAAACATTCCCTTACTTATCACAACACTTCAGTTACATGCCTCGTTTTCCGGGCCAAGTTCCTTATGGTATTTGGAGTTTATTTTAATTCTTAATCAAATCAGCTGTCCAAGAAATTAATCTGAAAAAACCCATATATAATACATGTTCAAAAACACACCAATGGGGACACCTGGTGGAGAAACGACGAGTTGCCCAGGACGCCCTGCATTCATCCCATGACTGGGTGAGGATGAGTTAGCTCATCAGTGGGATGACTGCGAGTATTTTTAACTACAGCAACTGTGAGACAGCTCTCGTTAGTTTGCCTGCCTGCCGCTGATGGCTCCCTCGAAGCATCCCGCACCCGCTGCTGGCCAAGAGTACGTGCACGCGGTCGTGGCGGTGCCGATGCACAGCGAGCGGCGTGCAAGCGCCTGGTTCCTCAGTGACTGGTGTTTAATGTGACTGGGGACAAAGCTGCAGTTACTGGCAAACGCTGTTTCTCTCTTGCCACTGCAGAAGCTGCCATGTTCAAGGATTCTCAGATAAGCCCTAGAGATACTTATTTAAAGAGATGTCCTCATGATGCGCATTTGGAAGGCGTTGTGGGGAGGTTAGGTGAAGATCCAGGACCACGTCTGCTCGTAACTGCAGGGAAGAGGAGAACACTCCTCTGAATTGGATCCTACTCTGTATCATATGAGATGCTCCAGTCTCGACAGACAGCAACTCAAGTAACCACTAACATTTTCCAGTCTGCAGTGGAAGTCCTAGTCCCCTTCCAGTGGGCAAGGCCTCCCTTTTCACTCTCCTGTGAGAGTGACCTTGGGAGAGACCACGGTGAGGACAGCAGCCTAGACTGGCTTCATCAAGGAGCTTGGTCAGGGAGAGGGACGCTGTGCTTGCCACTGACTTTGGAAGCAGGCAGGCAGCACTCGGTTCATCCCTGGGATGCTACACCTATGGCAGAGGGCAGACTATGGCTTCTAGGCTGTTCATTTGTGTGTGCTATAAAAGCTCTACTTGGAGTGGGGCAAGCACGAGACCCGAGGACAAGGCAGTCGGCTAGGCAGCGTTATTGCACACATGCTCTAGGAACTGTGTGCAAATGGAGCATGCTTTAATTGGTGTGAAAATGGCCATGGTTGGTTGCTTTACTTCTACCTCACTCAGAAAGCAAGCATTAGCCTTTCCTGTGACGGGGCAGCAACGTACAGATGGGTTCTGGTGTGCCTTCTGGCATGCACCAGCTGTGGAACATGGGATTATCTGGGGGTTTTGTCTTTCTAAGTGGGAGAGGAGGAAAAGAAAGGAATGCTTACAGTCGTGAAGAGGGAAGGATAATTTCTGGCTCTTTGTTTTGATGCAGTCTGTTCTGACATGGAGTTAAGTTTATAACCTACTGGTTTTCTCATTGTTTGGGAAAGAAGGAACATATCAATTATAATTCTGCTCCAGAGCCACCAGACAATTGGGAGAGAAAGTGACTTTGACTTAGACCATCACAAGTTGGGCAGCAGACTGTGGATTTTTATTAGATATAGCAGAGTATTATCTGTGTTTAATTCACATTTCAGAATCTTTTCTCTGTGGCAAATCAGAGCTGCAAATTAAGTATGAATTGCCATCCCATAGGCATCCAGTATGGTCTGATGACTCTCCACACTCTCACAAAACAAGACTAATAGTAATTAGTAATAGTAAGACTAACAGTAATTACTAATAGTAATGAGAGAGAAGCTAATTTTATTTGTTGGTATTCCTGTGTTGGGATTAATATCAAAGCAGGACACGATTTTTTGCCACAGGACTCAAGAGAGGGCAATTTTAAAGTTAGTGCTTGACTTCAGATGGCTCCATGAGACCCCTTTCCTGCTTCAGGTGCTTCAGCTGACTCGGAGACTCAGCAGAGCTGGCTGGGGACAGTCACTGTGAATGGCCACCACTGACTGTCCTGGCCCAGGCCGGAGGTCCCTGCCTGACAGCGGTCAGGAGCAGATGCTAACAGACGGAGTATTCTAGCAGACTTTACTGACTAATTATTTCTTGTTTCTCTTCCTTGCAGAAAACACCTTCTGCAGCGGTGACCATGTATCGTGGCACAGCCCTTTGGACAACAGTGAATCTAGAATCCAGCATATGTTACTGACAGAAGACCCTCAGATGCAGCCGGTGCAGACTCCTTTTGGGGTCGTTACTTTCCTACAGGTATGGCCCAGCAATGGTGGCTCTGACTGTCACCTCCTGAGAGTGGAATGCGGCTAACATTACATTTCATTTAGCTTTGATAAGTCAGATGCTTATTATCCTGTCTTCTACCTTTCTTCCTCATTCGATTACTGTCGATCTCATCTTTGAGTTGTTACTCTGGAGGTATTTAGTAAGCATTTTAGCAGGATTGAGCAATGGCACACTCAGTTCTCAAGACAGAGGTCTGTCTGATGGAGACAAGGTTTACACTGTGAAACAGACCAGGAGTTGAATATTATATTACTGCTCTGAAATTTCAAACATGAATATAGGGGAAAAAAGCTGAGAGAAACACTTTTAAAAGGTAATGTAGAGCTAAATTCAAATTAATTCTATGGCAGTATTGGTAAGTGATCCACTGGTTTGAGTTCCAGGAAAAGAGGTGTTTGCAGCAGGACTCAGAGTTGCTTTAGCATTATTTAATGGCAGAAATGTAGCTTGCAGCATTGACACCAAGATTCTTTAGAAGCTAAGTGAGTTTTCCTGTTTTGATCCAGAGTTTAAGAAAGGTTCAGGTTTGCTTTGCAAAAGAAACATTTAAAAAATCCCTTGTGATTTAACCCTACTGTTCAGTGAGAGGGAGCTTTCTTGGCCAAATAGGTTTGCTTGCTTTCCCAAAGTCCTCCTCTGTGATGTGTCTTAGATATGGGCTGCTTTGGGCACTTTTAAATTGCATATGGAGTTATTAACCGTAGTGGAAGGGCTGGCAGTTTATACCAACTGCTGATTTCTCCCGGCTCTGTGGAAAAGCTTCCCTCCTGTGGGAAAATTCAAGTGTCTGTATTTTACAATTTAAGCTTCAAGTTGCTCCCATTTGTCCTTGGCTGTAGTTGCAACATGTAAGGGGAAGCTGCATTACCACAGACCTGCACAAGGCAACTGCTGTGCAAGGGCAAAGGCTCTCCTGAATTTTCTGAGGTGCCCAAAAGCCTGTGTTTTATCAAAAGAAAGAGATGGGTGTGGGATTAATCAGTGAAAGGTGAGTTGTGGGACCTGGAAGCAGAGATAGAGAGCCAAGCTAAGCAGGGTGATTCGTGGCTGACTCCCCAGATAGTGCTGCGTTAGTCCGCATCTCTTCTTTAGTGCCCAGCTGTCCTGGATCAAAGGACAGTCAGCTTGTTGGATCCTGAGGGTCTTGGCCTCTAATCTTCCACAACACATATGGTTGACTTGTTTTTCCCCTTTGTTTGATGCTTGTTGTTATGGATTTACTTTGACCCATGAGGATAAATGATTGCAAAAAGAAAAGAATGAACACAAAATAATTTCCTGTTTAGAGTCTTGCTGTTTGTATGTAATTAGTGAGTGAAGGCCCAGGGAGGGGTGTCCTGAAGCGAGGGTGATTCAGGCTGTTCATGGAGGAAGCCTGGGAGATGGGTGGGGATGAAATGCATCTCCAAGGGCTGGGTCCTGAGAAAGTGAGCTCTGCAAGGGGCAGGGGAGGTAGGGTGTGCAGGACTGGGTACATGCTGACATTGATGATTTTCCACGCAGATCTCTATCAGTGCAGATACGCGCTTGCAGCAAAGGCACATCAGGCACTTCTGCTTGCTGCTCTTCAGAACTTAGTTTTCAGTTTTCCTCTTTTCTGATAAAACATACTGATGTTTTGATGTTGAACAGATTTTGACCAAAAATCCAGTGTCGTTGGAAAAGGCTTAGAGTATTGAGGAAGAAAATAGAAGGCCACGGCTAAAATAATTTTTCATCCCAGAGAGTGAATCGTTGTGCACAAAGGCACAAGCCAGCGGTTGATGGATCAGGAAGAAACTGCCTTCCGCTATCAGCTGAAGGGTGTTTCACCCCTTCATTTGAAGCGGCTGATTTCAGCTGCTGTGAGAGGGACATCTGGCATTGCTCAGTGTGGCAGCTCCCATCCTGAAAAGCAAACACATCCTGCCTTATACAGGAAGGCAGAAGTCTGCAATTGCCTGCAGTGACAAGTGGATTATGCGATGTGTAAGCAGCTTTACTTTATGGTGCCAGGTAAGATGTAACTAGTCAGCAAACTGAGCTGGTCAAGGATTTATGAGCACCAAAGCATTTCCTTGTGGCCATGGGTCCCTTGCCTGATTGAAATTGCTGGTGCAGTATTGCATTTGCCCTTAGCAGTTCACTGACAGAGCAGTGTTTTGCATGTGCTCAGACCCTAACCTGTCCTGTTGTGTGTGGACTGGATTGAAGAGTGAGAACAGACTAGTGGATCTTCGGTAAACCCTGATTTGTCACCAGGCCCTCCTCATAGTTAAGTTCACACATGCCATGCAAGATTAAATGTTATGTGACCAGGGCACTTCACATGGTAAGTGTAGAGAGAGGGCATAAGGAATTGCAGAATCTCTCTGCTGTCTCAGGCTCCATTTGTCCTCGCTCATCTAGTTAGTTTAAAGAAACGGTGCTTCTCTGTATCTGCGCTGTTTGATCCAGCACCGCTTGGCACATTTTCTCTACAGTTCTCGCACGGTTCCCATCCAGTTTAGTATCTCTGTTTTCATTTACTCCAGATTGTTGGAGTTTGCACTGAGGAACTCCATGCGGCTCAGCAGTGGAACGGGCAAGGCATCTTGGAACTGCTTCGGACTGTCCCAGTGTAAGTGCTCATACAGCCCCATATAGGGGAGCATTCCCGTAGAGAACAATTCAGTTGTTTGTTTTTATTAACAATCTTTAACTTGTTGATGGAACTTATTTAATCCTGAGCTGTAGCAAGAGTTGGGAATTCATTGCAAATCTGTTCTCACGCACAGGCACTTAGATGGCAAATTAATGCATGTGGAAGTCCATATGTTCAGGGTGAAATAGAATGAGGTCTTGAAAGCTTAATTTCCTTCCTCTTACGCCTGCAGCATTTTCTCATTGATTCTTCCTGAGAGAGCGGGGTAACTGTTACTGGTGACCTCTCTGTGTAGTTCAAAAGAAAGGAAGGAGAGGGTCTGACTTACAGTGCCTAGCAAAGCTTGGGTACTGCCTGAAAGTGAGAAAGTCACTCTCAAACTGGCCTCACTCTTGGTGGGCCAATTTACAGTAGGAGGAGTGTTCATGCAAGTGAAGTTCATTGTTATTTCTCCCGTGGCAAAACAAAGATGTCCTTGGGTTAAGGAGGAGATGGGTTTTAAATGTTAAATGATATGTTGATGCTTCATTTGCTGCCAGGTTGCAGCTAAACTTTCGTGGCTTGCAGGTGTTGCATTTAAATATTTTTCTCTTATATTTAGTGGAAGTTATTGCCGTGTGATTGTAGCTCAAAAGATTTTTTTAAACAAAATGGTTCTGAATATGTGTTCCTGGGCACAATAGTACACTCTCTCGTGTCACAATGGACTTTAATTGATTGATTATTTGGAAAAGTCCAGCCTTTGCTGCTGGATTTCTTAAACTTGAACTTTTCCCTTTTAGGCACAAGTGTGGATAATTCATGCGAATGCCCTAGAGTAGAGTGAATTTGTCCAGCTGCAAGCTTTGTTTCTGGGACCCCAAGACAACAAACACTGCCTGCAGCTCCCTTGGCTCCTCTAAGTCAATACAGATATAGCACCCCTCTCCTCAGTCTGTTCTCATGTTGGTTTTTGGCTTTTGTGCTGTGGTACAAGCACCTTTCCAAGGATAAAATGAAACCTAAATGTGCGCGATTCCAAGGCAAAGCTGCAAACTACTAAGCCACTGATGTGGAGTCAGGGTAAAAGTCTCTTGCATCCCTGTGAGGGACTGAAGCAGGTGGCACCTCTGCAGTTAATAATTCACAGCTTCCAAAGTGATGTGAAAAAAGTGGCTATCGATGCATCTGAAAAGCTATAAAATATTAACTTTTATTGCTCCCACTCCAAGTGCTTTAGGAGACTGTAACGCAGACAAGGCCAGAGGAGGGGGCTTTTGACTGCAATAACAAAGTATCTCATGGAAAAAAATGAAAATTTTTATGGCAATTCCAAAAGACTTCAGTTTTTACTTCAAATGAAAAGCACCATCTAAGGCTGACTTCTGCAGTCTGCCTGCACTGTGACCCAAAGTCAAGTCTCCGAGTAGTTCATCTTCACAGTAATCTGTTTTCTGTCACCTTTGTTGGGAAACATCTTGACCCTTCTGACTTTTATTGCTAATGAAAACAAAGATTTCCCTGAACCATCTGAGTACTCGACCATTAAGTACCAACTGGGCAAAATGTCTGTTGTGAGGATATTTATCAGAGCAATAAGCTTTTTATGGTACTGAACATGACTGCCGATCTCAGCAAAAAGTGCAGTCCCAATGGGACCCTGCCACATCTTTAGATATGTAATAGAGGTATAAATCTTGACCCCATGCCTTGCCCATCTTTCTTAGACCTAGAAGAAAGAAGACTGGACTTCCGAGTCCCAATTCAGTTACTTGTAAGATTAAAACCCAGTTCAGTCTTGTTATGAGTAAGTGGGTCCGCACAGGGGATAGCCTGTGTCAATCCTGACTGCTTTGCAAGACTCGGTGGTGCCAAGCACCAGGCAGATAACAGCTAGGTCGTGGAGGGCTTTCATTATGCGTTTGCGAAATGTAAAGGACAAATGCATGCTATGGGATGTATACACAACACAGAGGGACTTCTAGGCTTGTTTTAAACTCTGTCTTTTGGTTCCTTTTTAGTACAGGTCCACTCTGAGGACTCTGTTGGGGAGTACTAGCTAAAGTGCTTGTTTGGTTCATTACCTTTCTTCCTTTCTTTGTAGAGCTGGAGGCCCCTGGTTGATAACGGATATGCGAAGAGGAGAGACAATATTTGAGATTGATCCACATCTGCAAGTATGTCTTTAGTTAATAAAATGTCATGTCTTTCATAGTAGCCAGGGAGAATTGGTTTAATGGTATAAACCAGCTCAATTATTTTCTATAAAGGTGCTGTGATCTTCTCAGTGTTTGCAATAATCCCGGAAAAATCTTTTTGCCCTCTCAGAGGTCATTCAAGAGTGCACATGTCCAGCCCCAGGTGGATGGCAGTTTTAGGAAGAAATTTAGAGAAGGGAGACCAGGAAAACAGAATCATAAGATATGAGACAAATTGGTAAGATTTGGACTGCATGTTTTAGAAAGGAGGAAAATAGAAGAAGATAAAAGAACATAGAACAGTACAAGATTTAGAGATGATAGATCAGGAAATTCCTCCTTTGTTTTATATGCAAGCGTAAGGAGATATAACATGCAGAAAACTCAAAACCAATCAAGTAATATTTTTTCACAGTAAGTGTGACAGTGTAGCTCATTCCTGTAGAATGTCTCTTGAGGCCAAGTAGTTAGTGTGGTCTGAGAAATAATGGAAAGCCAAAAGATTCTCATGCAGTTAATAATCCATGCAGGAAGATACATTGAACCACCTTCTTCAGAGTTCAAGTTAATTTCCGAATTTTAAAGATCAGAATAGGACCTCTACAGAGGGGTTACCATGCCATGGGCTACGGCTGATCCGTGCGTTTGGGAGACAGTTCTGTGCCCCTTCAGCAGAGTTACGGTACTGGAGTACATGGGTCCCAGGCAAATACAGTGTGGTGCTGATCTTGTTTCAGTGAATCACTGAGTATTTGCCTTTAACAGAGAACTTATGGCTTAGCATGGTAGGGCACATGCATATGTGCACGTTTTGTACAAGCTGTTGCATTTGCGTATGGTCTGCGTGTCTGCATCTGATTACCCTCGGTTGCCTCACAGCATCTTTTATTTTGAAAGCTTAAGAACAAAACCAAATTCTACTTTTCCTGTTTTTAAGGATTTGTTCATCTAAAATAACCCCAGTCTGAGAGACACAAAAACAAGTGTTCCACAGTGTGGGAGCTAATACAACTGCAAGTCCTATAAAGTTTTTAGGCTCTTCAAAATTTTGCCCTCTCCCCTCCTGGAGGGTGTTTGTCTGTTCTCTGCACACTGGTGATTCCTAATGATAACAGGGTTTTCTTCAATTTACTGTAAATGAAAAGTAACTCAGCTTACTGGAATCTGAGTCAGCCAAGGCAAGTTAAGGCAAATAAAGAGTACCTCTGCCTCACCAGTGTGTCCTGCCACTGAATGCTGCTATGTCTGTGGTCTTTCCGGACTTCCTCACATTGAAGACATTCCTGTTTCTGTTCTCTCTTGCCCTTCCAGTATTGCATATGCGCAGGTGTGCGTGCACCTCCTTCCTGCTCTGCTGCCGCAGCCCCTGGGGATTCATTCGCAGGGCAAAACCTGCTGCTGCGGTGCCGAGTCCCGCAAAACGAGCCTTTGCTGAGCACAGGGAGCAAGGCTGTGCCGGGCTGGGTTCAGCCACGTCGTGCGCCTCCTGCTCTGATTAGTGGGGAAAGGATAAAGTGTCATTCTCTTGGCATTTTCTTGGTGGTGGTACAGGGTGTGTGAGAACTGAAAGGCAGCAGATAGGTGGAGGGGAGGGAGGGAGGGAGCAGGCAGAGGAAACAGACAACTTTCCCGGGAGCAGGCAAGCACGTTGCCTGCCTGGGAAGCGGGCAGAGCTTGTTTTGAGGCTGCATTGTCTCTTGTGGGAATTGGTTGAAGCCTAAACCCAGCCCTGGCAGCAGCAGCTGTACTTTCTGTTCGAAGCTGCCGAGAATGGATCCCAACTAAGATGTCATCCCAGGATGTCGGCAATTAACGCTGTGGCAACGCTGGCTGTTTTCTGTTCAGCCAGGCTTCCCTGTAGGCCATTCAGATTTCCCTGGCAGCACTGTCAAACAATCCCTGTCGGTCCCCAGCTCTGTGCTGATTCTCAGTGCTTTGCTTCTGTTTTAGCAGATATCTCAGAAGAGAATAAAGCTGATTTGAATTTCCTGAGTTGTGGTTGCCGCTCTGCGGGTCACACTGCAGTGCTCTGGCTCGTTTAGAAAGGGATCAATGACTTATAAGAGCCTCAGAGCATCCCTCCCACATGCTGAGAGGAAAATGGGACAGAAACATCCTTTCTTTGAGGAGGGAAAAAGCTGAACCTCCTTTGCCCTGGGCTCCTCCAACCTCCTGCTCAGGCCGCCCTTTCAAGGGAGGAAGAACAGCCCCTCAGCCCAGGCACATCTTTGCTGGCTAAAGATGGGGTAAAGCTGTGCATTGCCCCAGCTGAGAGTCTGCACTGGTTAGGGAGTTTTTGGTTTTTTTCCCCCTTCAACATCAATACTTGCAAGTGTTATAAAACAGGCATGCACATTAGGCCGCCTTAGGCCAGCTCATTTCCATCAGCCCCCCTTGATCTCCAGGGGATGCCAACAGAGCAGCACTTCTTCCCCTGAGGAAGTGCTCTGCAAACCAGCTGAGATGCAGATGACGAGTCCCTTTCCCCCTCCCCAGGGCTCTGCGCGCTGTCCGGAGGCACCGACTCTGTCTGTGAGCAGGGGCCCTGGATGCAGGGGTGGAGAAGCACGTCCCACCAGAGCCGCTGCCCGATGGAGTCCTCGGGGCCCTCTGGGCTCTTCTGCTCCCTGCTCAAGGGCAAGTTTGGTGGCTCTCCCATGCTTCCCCAATCACTGGAATGAAAAATAACCATGCTGACAAGTTAAACCTCCCCATGCCAGCTGATTTGGGTCCTCACAGAGTGCCACAGAGGGCTCCTGAAGGAGCCACGGGCTAACTCTCACTTAGAGCATCATTTGCATATGTAGGATCAGATGTATTTTTATTTCTTTTTCCACAACTTCTGTTTCTGGTTAAAACAACTAATTTTATGTTTAGGATATAATAAAAGAAAATTCCAGCAGATTTATTGTTTCTCAGATTTTCCCATTACGTTTTCGTAGAAGCCAGTTTCCTCTGACGCCAGAGGAAGATCCCAACAAGGAGTAGTCTCTCAGGGAGAGAGGCAGAAGGAAGGCAATCTCATGAATGCTTAAGTCTAAGTCAGGACTGCTCTGGTCTTGCCCCCAGCCGCAGGCTTCTGCCTCTGCTCTTGGGCCAAAGAGCCAGTTTAGTGAGGTGATCCAGCTGGAAAAAAAAACAAAAACAGTTGGCTCAAGGAAAGGGATAGGAGCACATGGAGGAGGGTGGGACTGCAGCCACTGCGAATTACATCAGCTTAAACTGCTGTGCAACCACACCCTGAGTGCTTGTGCTTATCTTTGAGCTGCTCAAATCCTCTTTTGAATGGCCACAAGAACAGGCAATGGTCTTTCTAGGGCCCAGCGTGTGCAGCTGGGCAAGGGGAGGAATGTATGTGGGCTTTAGTCTGGAAATTGCTTCTTAGGGAACAGGTTCTGCAAAGCACTGGATGCTGCCATGGTCTCTTGACTCCAGTGGCAAGATCAAACTGGAGGGTAGTAATGACAAGCGGAGAGATGCGTTCCCGTTGTGCGTAACAGCTCTGCTCTTTTCTCAAATCTTCAAAGTTTCTGTCCCGCAAGCACTGGGACTTACTGCCTATTCTGAGGTGAACCAGATGTAAGCAGTGAGATGGAGATCTTGCTGGTGTCACTGAGCAGTACCAGAAGTGACACTCCTTCGGAAGAGGGAAAAATGGCCCGGTTGATTCCGTGCCAGCGCTAAGAGCTGGTGTAGCTCAGCCCTGAGTTTGTTCAGCTCAACATTACCCCCTTGTGGGATATAGGTGGAAATTCAGACTAATGCCAGTTCCCCTAGCAGGTAGGCGTCCTGTGGAAGTTTTGGCTGTAGCTTAGGGCACTCTTGCTGGCAACAGATGTACGTGTCCTTGAGAAAATGCACGGTGTCTGAGAGCTTCCAGTTGCTTGTGGTTGGTGTGCAACACCTTCCTAGACCCAAACGGTGGTTACGTGCTTGGAAAGTCCAACTTGCAAGGGAGGGAGTTTGTGTATTTTGCCGATAAAGCTGTGCAAAAAGCTTTGACATTGTGCACAGACCTGTGTCTCCTTGCACGTTTGTCCTTTACTGAATGCCCCGGCACAGTGAAAAGCAGTGGTTGTCCAGGCAGTTTGCAAATGATGAACTCTTGTGAACGATGAGTCTCTCTGTGAGCTGTTTTCATTGTGGGATTCCTTGGTAAGTTTGGAAAGGGATCTTAAGTTTAGTTATTCAGGAGTTTATTATCATTGACATTTAATAGGTAGACTGCCAAGCTGTGCTTCATACAGATGTATACATTGTAGTGTCATAAATACTTTCAGTTGGTGTAAACTGGAGCTAGCACTGAAAAAGACAACTCTATGTACCCCAGGCTGCTGATTTCCACCTCTGTCTGTGCCTGCCAGAGCCGCCTCGTAAAGCAGTAGGGAAGGGGTAGGAGTTCAGACCAACCTGCTATGGAAGAGGTTTGTTCCAGTTCAGACGAGCTCCCTGATTTGTCTCAATGGGCAGTCACCCTTGGCTGGTACATCAAAGCACGCAGGCCAGAGAGTGGAAACTGGCCGCAAAGGGGGGATATGCAGGAGCTGCTGAAGGTTGGGTTGAGCCAGGGTGGGTTCCAGCTCAGGTTCAAGCCACACCCAAAAAAGTCTTGGGGTTTTGGATCTTTTCAAGCAGGAGAGAGTTGACAAAGGGATTGAGACAGATGGCTCAAACCTGAGTGGAGTGAGTGCCAAATGTGCCTGGGATGATCTCAGCCGGCCCCCGGAGGATGATGAAGACAGCAGGAGCATTTGCATTGGGACCCAGCCGCGGCGGCTCTCTGGGAAAGGTAAGAAGGTCCCGGGCTGAGCCGCTGTCACGGCCTTTCGGCTTGTTTCCCGATGGGTCTGGGCAGTGGGCTGAGTCATGCAGCATCTTGGGATTCATAACAAGCACCGCAGTTACTGGAAGGCTCAGTATGTCTCAGGGGAGCAAAATTAATTTTGGTGTGGCCTCTTTGAGGAAGGCAGGCGAGAGGAAAAGAGATCTTTGCATTGTTTTGTCTAAATGCTTCTTTCAGTTTTTAGGCTATTTCTAATCTAAATCTGCAAAGTTAAACTGAGCACTGGGTGAAACCAGGACTGTAAACACCTGCAAGGTAAAGCAACTGCATTTTCCCAGGCTGTGTTTCCTTATTAACGTTGTCACTTCTTGGGTGGCAAGTTGGACTGACACTGCACGTTGATGTAGCTGAACTCAAGCGATTCTTGCAAATACAGAACTCTGGAAACGAAAAATAAAATACAGTGGAGTTCCCCTTTGCAGTGAGATGCCATCTCAGGGTACAGATGTCATAGCCATTACACATGCTTGAAATTATGCATGTTACCTTGCAAATGGGTGAAGTAACGTAAAATTTGAGGGCTTGAGCTTTCCTGGAATTAATGATGGTTTCTACAGGAATGGTATCTTACTTGTTTTTAAGTCCACGGTAAAAAAAAGTATATTTAAATGCCTATAGGGTTCCTTCTGGCTTCTATGCAAATATTTTGAACTACACTGGATCTAAAAAGGCTATTTTCCCTCAGCTCTGCAATGAAAAGCCCAAGACAGGTATACATGGTGACATTTGTATATCCTTCAAAAGATTTTGAAATAATGTGGATATTTTTTTCTCTACCAATTCCCACATTTCTCAAAAAAAGATGAGGAAACTTCTAAGAAAGGTAGGAAAGCATCCTATTAAATTATTTGGCCATTAGACATTATAGGAAAATGAAAAAGTAAAAAGACTGCAACTGAACTGCATAATTTGCAGTTTATTTTCAAGTGTGAGCTTGAGGCTAAAGTTTGCCCTCCATAAAATTCCTTTCTTTTGTGAATCTTGTTGTAATTCATCAGCAGATTTGCAAAGCCAATTGCAAAAACTCGGGAACCTCCTTGCACTCGTTTGGTAAAGGAACAAATTCCTGTTACGCCTAATGGGAAAAGTGACTTCCAGCGCAAAGGCTGGAAGTGTCTGGAGGTTCTGTGAGAGCTGCAGAGACAGCACACACCTCGTTTATGAAAGGACACAAAACTACTCAGAATTTCCTCATCAGGAGGGCTCAGTACCAAAGGTTCCAGCTCTCCTTGCCTGACATAACATCGCAGCCCAAACCAAGAGAATTCAAGCTGACTTTATAAAGGGAAATAACTCCTGAGGTGCAGGAAGAGCTGTTAAGAATTCACCCTTAGCATCTCTTAATTTCTTTCTGCAGGATAAGAGTTTAGATAAAACACACCACAGAAACAGGCCTTTTAAAAAAAAAAGCTGACATCTCCTTGTGCCTGTGATGTTTCTGGGGACTCTAAATCATGTTAAAAAAAATTCTCTTTGCAGATACGGAGCAAATCAGGGAGACTTTGCGGAGAGGGCTTGAGATTAACAGCAAACCTGTTCTACCTCCGATAAATGCACAAAGACAGAATGGGTTGAACCACGACCGAGCACCGTAAGTTTCACCCTGCACACTCAGGTGGTGGGAGGAGGGAGGCTGAAGAGCTTAGCAGGGAAAACAAAGTTTTAAAGCTGGGTGGGAAAAAACTTGGCAAGGGGAGAGGAAGGCTAGCAGCAAATACTTGCAAAGCTCAAGGAGAGAGGGAGAAGAGTTGTTCAGGTTGGGTTAATGGACTAGTATGCAGGAGGGCAGATTTTGAGAGAGGTTTTGGACAAGCCTTGCTAATGCAGAGTGGCTCTGACTGTGTTCTGTAGAACCTGCTGTTCATGGTGTACAGTGGTTGAAATCAGACTGGACCGAGCCCTGTAAAACGTACTGTGGTGAATAGTGCGATGGTATCCGAAGAGCTAGGCAGCATAGATGAGTGTTTGCTGATACTTTTGCCTGAGTACTTTGTTTTCAAGCTCATAATTACAAATGTTTTGGTTAAAATGTTGAATTTTTTTTTAAGTTACTTTGATCTTGCCTTGCTTAAGCAGGCAGGTACTGGCAGTAATTACATGCCAATACCACCCTGGTCTCTAATAGTCTGTAGACTAACAGGTGATTTAGGTGGGATTAGGTGGGCCTGTAGATCTCTCCTCATTTGTAACTTTTGACTTCAGTGAATCCATAGGAAATTACGTGCGGTTTCAAGCCATCTGCAGTATCTGCGCTTCCGTCTTTTTGGGTTTCTCCCCTTCCCCTCTTAGGCTTATTTCAGTTGCTAGTTAAATGTCTTCCCATCAATTTTAATGTTTTCATCTAAATGATACAGAAAGGCATGCATCTTTGCTGCACTCTTTCATCTTGGTATTTCCTTTGGTTTCCTAGTCTCTGATGAACATTTGTGCTTTCTTGTTCCAAGGGTAAAGATAATCATGAAATCAGTTCTTTCCTGTAGTGGCAGGCAGGGACAGCATCCTGCTCTGTTTCAATTCCTGTTTCTTTCTTGATTCAAACATTTTATGAGAAAAATTTTATTCCTCATACTTGGTTAGGATCTTGATGCCCTTTCTTGTTCTGTTTTGTGGGTGACTTCTGCTTTGAGTTGCCTAATCCTTTGAGGGAAGTATTATGTCAGTTGCGGCTGCTGTGTACCAAGTAATACAAGATATCGGTGCTTACAAAAAAAAAAATCTCAAGTGGCTTTATTATTGCTTCAGAAATAATCTTACTTTTGCGATATGGTAATTATATGGACACAGATTCTGACCTGACTCGGATTTTGAGTAGTACTTCCCTGCTTTGAAGGTTGGTCCCATTGGACCATGGGTTGGTCCCATTGGTCCCACTGAAAAAATAAAATGATACCATCTGACTTGCACGAATCACACCCAGCCTTGGAAGGCTCAAAAGTATTGAGCAGGATTTCTCACAGATGCTGGGCTTCTGCATGCCCGGAAAAAGCTCTGAGTTTGCAGTGGCTGGGGATGACCAGAAACATTTGGGGTGCGCATCAGGTCAGGGAGGCAGCTGATGGGTAAGACTTAATGCTGGGAGGCAGTTGTTGCTTAGATAAGAAAGCTTTACATTATTCAGGGTAAGATAAACAGAGATACGCTCAAGACAGAGTGGTGAAAGGTTAGCAGAGGTCTAAGATGAAGCACACAAATATTTACCTGGGTTTTTAACTGTTCTGAGGCAGAGAGGAAGGCAGGTCAAATTCAGAGCCTCCGATCTGTGACAGTGCTCTTTGTTGCAAATCTCTCTTACCTGTAGCAGCTGCACACCCACCCTACCTGAAGCCTGAGTGGTAGGAATGGCTGGTTCCCAGTGTTTGCCTCCTGGAAGATCAATACATTTCTCTGAGGTCTATGGTTACCACTGTGGAAACTGATAGCTAGCTTCTTTCTCCAGAATAGCAATTCAGTTAAGGGAAGAGAGCTATCAGCTGTGTGTCTTGCCAGCGGTTACTCTGATAACAGTTAGTATCGGAGGGATAGAGGAGATCTCCTCAACTTAGAACAGCAGTGTGTCCTAATACTTTCTTTCTCTATCTCACTGACTACTTTGAGAGGAGTTTGGAAAAGGTCTTTTTCTACTCATGCAGTGGCTTCTTTTCTCCAGTTCGTGTAGCAGATACAATGGGACTTGTTCAATGCATTGACCGTACTGAGAGGGGTGGTTTGTGCTGGAAAGCAGTGTTTACTCACAACCTCTAACTAACTGGTACTTAAATCAGATGTGATGATTACCCGTACTGTGGCTAAAACTTATCAGTCAACATATTTTCCAGCACAGTGTGGTATAGATGAAGCAGAAGAGGAAGATCTTATTAGGTCTCAGCCTTTCTTAATACACTGTCTCAGCATGTCTTATGTGTTTGAACAAAGTTGCTCAACATGCTATTAAGTACAAGAGCATGATCTGGAGACTCTCGTCTCCAGCTGCTGCAGAGGAATGTAACTGAGGAGTTCAGCTTTCTCATGTAGTAATATATCTAGATCCATGTTCCCTACAGGTGCCTGCAGTGGCAAAGGCTGAGACACGAAAGGCACAAAACCCAGTGCAGAAATCGTCATTTCATAAGATTTACAAGCACCTTAGATGAGGGATCTGCACATAGATCTAGTCCTTCTGGTGCAATCCTTGCTTGGGCCTGGTAGGGCTGGGACTCAGTTCTGTCCTTCACTGTAAATCTTGTGTAATCAAAGACAAGTCATTTAGCTATTGAGCTTCAGTTCTGAATCTATAAAATGAGACTAATAACAATGTCATCTTCTTGAGGCACCACAAGGATAAATACATTAACGATTACAAGGTGCTGGCTGATGGGAAGCAGGCTTGTGTGTAATCATATCCTGCACTGTACACACCAGACCATAAAATATCAAACCCATGGTTCGTTGCAAGGGTCCTGTGAGTAACTGGTGCATTAGACACTCCTCGGGAACTTGACAGAAACGCTCTGTTGGGGCACGGCAAATTGTTCCAAATCTACTTTCCATAGGGACCGTTGCAGAACCCCAGGCCATCAAATTTGCACCCAGCTGACATTAGGATGTTAAAGTCTGACATAGACTCTAATGGCTTTGTGCAGGAGAGGAATGTGCTGTTTATTTGTCATAGATTTGCAGCCACCAACTGCTTTCCTAGTAGCTTTCTTCCCTTTCTTTTATCCTAACCCTACCACCCACATACAATAATCTATCAGGGTTTAAAGCAGACAACCTGTTCTGCATTCAGCGTCACGAAATAGTATCAGAAACACTCAAACTTTCAAATATTTATTTGTATAAAATGCTGAGGATCCAGATTCCATACAGATTTCCCTGTCTTTTTGTAGTTACAGTTTTCAGTGCTTATGCAAAAGCCTCACATTGTTTGGTTGCAGATAGGGCTTGATTCAGTGTTCTGGCTCCAGCAAAGCATACTTACATGTTAAGCATGCATATTACCAGTTGTTCACTGTCCCAGAGTCCTAAAAAAAAAAGTTCCTTTGAGAAAAAGCTGGTTTCTGTCAAAACCCTGTTGGGCAGCTGTGGTACTTTGATTCATTAGTGTTATTACTGTAGACTGTGTAGCCCTTTTTCTCCTAAGGATATGAATAAAAGCACTCTTAATGCTTAAAACTGCATCGGACATCTGTTTCTCAAAATGACTGTTAGCTCAGTTCATAAGCAGCCATTAAATCAGTTCGTACGCATTAAACAAAAGAACATGTAAATTAATCTTCGGAAACATGACTAATCATTTCAACCATAGGTAACATAATACTCTTGATTACTGCTTGGAAAAATGAGGCGTGTATGAATACAAATGTACTTTACAGTGGCGCATTATTTATTTCTTAGGACCCATCAGCTTGGTAGGTGCTGCTCAGACAGATAGAAAGGCAAGGCTCCCGGTCTCCCAAACGGTGCAGATGCAGTCTTGTTGGATACGGCGAGCTCTTCCCAGTGAGGAACATTTAGATGTCAGACTAAACACTGCTGCTGTTAAGACCTCAGTGGGCTGGAAGCTCCAGATGTCAAAGATCAGTGACATTTGTGGAGTCTTCCTTCATTCGCTGTTTAATTTCTTGATGTAATAAATTCTGGGGCCAAGCCTTTAATTGTCCCTGGCAATTAGCTCTGTGTTCTCCTGTGAGGTGGGTGAGTAGTATCTCCACTTTACAGATGAGGACAGAGGAGTTAATTTGCCACAGTTGCAGTGAGAGCCAGGGTTGGGATAGGGGAATTCTTGACCTTTTCCACCCCTCAAGGGTCCCCTTGATCACGCAGCGTTGCTGAAAGTGATGTTTTTCTGCCCCTTGGCTGACTCAGGCCATTCTACCGCTCCTGTGAGCTGAGGCATGGAGTAGAAATGTAGAGCTAGCGCGCTGCATTACTGCACATGTTGAGGCTAAAATGACTAGTAATTGCTACATTTCATTGTGCCAGGATTCAGGTAATGCCCGCGTGCATCCCCAGTGTCTGAAGGTGAGGCTCGAGTGGCAGAAAAAGGTGTCCCAAGGCTGTGCTACTTTGACAAGTCTTTTCCAGCATCTCTCTGCCATTCATCTCTCTCCCTCCTCTCAAGAAGGATAAAGAGGTGTGGTTCAACATGCCTGATTCCCATATTTCTGTCTGGGATTTCCCAGATAACTTTGCGTGCACTGGTCCCCTCATGCACAGTGGTCATTTGTCCAGGGACCCACAACGGATGCCCCAGAGACCTCAAATCCCATCTGCATTCAATTTCCAGGCAGAAAGGCAGGTTGAATCTAGGGAAACCTGAACATATGGTAACTCTGCGCCCATGTGCTAATTCCATCCAGCCCTGAACAGTTTCCAGCTGTGCAGGGAAATGAAGGCAGGTTCCTGGCAAACAGAGCAGGGAACAACCCTCCGGCAGGTGGGGCTGGCAGGACTGTCCTGGCTATGACCTTCTGCTGCGCTGCACCCTGAGCATCTCAGGTTGTTGCCCTTCCCTTGTGGGAAGAGGAAGGAGTTGTGTCGCTCCAGAAGTCCTCCCAGGATAACCCCAGGCTGTGGCACACGGTGTGCCTGGTTTGGAGCACATGAGTAACA